TTTTTTTTAAAGTCAACTACACACACAAAAAATCTGAGACCTAATTTCACTATTTGTTGTTGTGATTTTTGTTGACACTTACTTCAATAACTAAGTTGCTAAGTCCCATTTCCTAACAGATGATTTCTCTCTCCTCATCTCTTTATTTCCAATGATACTGTCCTACTTGTCTGGAAAGTCGTTAGCAATTCTTTCACATTAAAAAATCAATTCAAACACAAGAAAACAAAACACTATGAGTGATGATCTGCCTGAGAAAACAAACTACAGAGTCATTCTCCCCTCACACTGAAGGACTGGAATTACCAAATACAAAGCAGTCATTCAACAAAGATTTACTGAAGACCTCTCATACCCCTAGACATGGCCTTAGTTACCAGAAATTCATCAGGAAGCAATGCAACAAATAAATCTTTGCTTCCTTAGACTTTACATTTCAGTGTCATCTTCTTTAGATTATGGTTTTTCTGGGGCTTAGGCAATTTCTTGCTCATTTTTTAATCCCCAGCACCTGACAGAGTTTGGCACTTCTGAGACCTTCAATAAATATTTCCTAGAATAACAAATAGGTTAATTACTATTCTCTATTTTCTCTCTTTCGCACACCTCTCTTTCCATATTTGATAACATAATCAATACGTTAATGGTTGCTCTTGCTTTTTCTCTCTTCTATCATTCTCAGTCCCTTCTTCTCATTTCAGTGCACTCTGCTTATTTACACTCTCTAAGCCAATAAAATGTCTACAAAGATCATTTTTACACTAAGGGAAGCAATGCCTATGCTACCTACTTCTCATCAACAATAAAAATCACTTATAAAGATTATTCCTTAGGGAGCTCTGTTGGCCTACTGGCAAGAAGTTGTACTGCAATCCCAGAGGTTGTTATGTTGTTATGTGTCGTCGAGTCATTTGCGACTCAGAGCGATCCTATGTACAACAGCCCTAAACCCTGCTCTATCCTGTGCCAATCTCATTGCCTCTGACACACCCATCCTGATTACCCCAGTCACTGAATCAATTCATCTCATAGAGGGTCTTCCCCTCTTGTGCCGACCCTCCACCCTCCCAAGCATGATGTCCCTTTTCAAGGATCTGTCCCTCCTTACAACATGCGCAAAGTATGTTAGATGAAGCCCCAGAATCCTTGTCTCCAAGGAGTAGCTTGGTTTAACCCTCTCCAGGATGAATCTGTTTGTTTTCTTGGCCGTATATGGTACATTCAATACTCTTCTCCAGCACCACAGCTCAAAGACATCAATTCTCCTTCTGTTCTCCCTAGTCATTGTCCAACTCTCTGATGCATAACAAGTGATTGCAAAGACCATGGCCTGTATCAGGCGCACCTTAGTCTCCAGAGAGACACCGTTGCTCCTGAGTACTTTAGAGAGGTCCCTAACAACAGACATTCCCATTGCAATACGCTTTTTAATTTCCTGGCTGCTGGTGCCAAGAGTGTTGACTGTGGAGCCGAGCAAACTGAAGCTGTGAACAATCTCAATCTCTTCGCCATCCATCCTGATGCTGCCAATTGGTCCAGTGGTGAGAATCTTTGTCTTCTTGACATTGAGCCTCAGTCCATATTGAAGGCTGTAATCCTTGACCCTCTGCAGTAAGTGCATGAGGTCCTCCTCAGTTTCAGCAAGCAGGGTTGTATCATCTGCATAACGCAGATTGTTAATAGATCTTCCACCAATCCTGACGCCACAATTCTCTTCATAGAGCCCAGCCTCTCGGATAATCTGCTCTGCATACAGGTTGAAAAGGCAGTTCAAATCCACCAGATGCTCTGCTGGAGAAGGAGATGCAATCTCCTCCTGTACCAGTCAGATCCAATTTAACGGGACACACAGAGAAAATAATAAAATAAAATTAGAAAATAATAATAATAAAGACTATTCCGTTAGTCACTTTACGTTCATGGTTTATGGTTTTCAGATTTATTTTTTTTTTTTTTAGGCATTGAAATCAAAGACGAAACCGCAAAAATAGATAAAGATTTTAAAGTGAAGGCCCAGAAGCTGGTCCATTTCAATCCTGGACAGACCACAGCCACATGGAGGGTGAGAATTATACCTGACAATGAATATGAGGCTTCAGAGACCTTCCAGATCATTCTGTCGAACCCTGTCATGGCTGCATTGAAGTCTCCACAAACAGCAACAGTTGAAATTGTTGATCCTGGAGATGGTATGTGGTAGTATTAGGCAGTATAGATCCCTTGATGCATTTTTATCTATTCATACTTTCCTTGAGATCTGTAAAGCACTGGCATATTAGTTTTCACTTAATATTTAAAGATAAATTATTCTAAGGCACTATTTTTTATCCATTTTTTTGTTTAAGTTTTTGTTTTTATTTTTTTTTCTCTACTAGTTTATTTACAAAATTCAAATACAAATTAGAACAAATTCTTTCCATTTCCCTCACCCCCCGACCCATCAAATTGTACAACCCAATGATTAATCCCCCCTTCGCCCTGCACATCCCCATCCCTCTGCTTCCAGCCACTCCCACCCCTCCTGGACCTTTATACTATTTCTACTATAACAGTTTTATACAATATTTATCATTATGGGACTGAGTTAGTTCATTCAGCATAATGTTGTCCAGTCCTTCACTTTAGGTCATAATTTACAAAGTTATTGCTCCTGTATGCTGCATAGTATTTAATTGTGTGAATGGACCATAATTTCCCAATCCTTTCTTTTGTGGTCGGACATTTGGGCTATTTCTTGCAATGGTGAATAATGCTGCTATGAACATTGGTGTACAAATCTCAGTTTGGGCCTCAGTTCTCATATTCTCAGGGTGTATTCCAAGTGTCTTATAACAAAAGTTTACAGAATACTCCTGGGCCTATACAAGAAAAAGACTGATAATCGAATTACAAAATGGGCAAAAGACATAGAAAGAATTTTCACACAGGAAGATATTTGGCAAACAGACACATGAAGAAATGCTCCAAATCACTGGCAATAAGAAAGATGTAAGTCAAAACCACAATGAGGTACTATCTCACTCCAGTAAGAATGGTAAAGTTTAACAGGGCAGCAAGTAATAGATGTTGGAGAGGATGTGGCCAGAAAGGAACTTTATACATCGTTGGTAGGACTGTAAAATGGTGCAATCATTCTGGAAGGCAGTTTGACGCTTCCTCAAAAGGCTAAACAAAGAAATTCCATATGATCCAGCTACTCCACTACTTGGAATATATACATTCTTAAGTTTTAAAAGGAATGTACAAAGAAGCATAGAGTTATTTGCCAGTTTTCCTTTAACGTATATTCATTAAACTGTCTGTACTCTTTAATAAAGGAATGGTTTAAACTGGTGGCCAATCTTATCCAGGCCCAATGTCTTCTCACAGTCTCCTGATAATGCCCTGCAGCCACCCCTCCTGGCAAGGAGGTGACCTAGATATAACTTGTTAGAAATTAGCTAACTACCTAGGCACAGCATGTACAGAGCTTTTTCATAATTGTTAAGGAAAAAGTATGTCTAATTTTCCCCAAGCAGTAGATGACTTCCACAAGAATCAGTGATGAGTTCTCTGTAGAATGTCTGGAAGGGGATGGGAAGTTTTCAAGTCAAATAAGTCTAGAGACTATTTCAAACACTAACCCCCTTTGAGGCATTATCATTTACATTAACTAATTACGAAATCTGAGAAACTCTGCTCTAGAGACATCTGCTGGACTTTACTTAGCCCTATTTTCCCAAACTGTATCATAGAATTTTCTTTTCTTTTTTTATTGTCTTCCACAAAAAATACCCTTTAAAGTCTGTCAAAGTTCTAGCATTCTTGAAACACAGGTTGAAAATGCGGCCGGCCTTCCACCAGCTGTACAGAAAGTGTAGAAAGCCTTCTCTCCAAGACCCAAAAAGCAAGGTATCAGAACAGTTTTATTAATAATAAAGATTAGACACATACATCAGATGTGATAAGAGTTACAAGATAAAGAAGTGGTGAGATCAGTGTTGTCCCCAGCAATAAAACTTCTTGGAAAAGGTAGAGTTTGAACTAAATCCAGAAGAGTAAATGGGCATCTAGTTAACAGATGAATGAAAATAGGCTTTCCAGACTTGGAAAATAAAGATAGTGACTGAATAACTCAATCTTTTTGTATTGGAGTTTTTTCACTTAAGCCTGATAATTTTTATTTACTTTACAAATCGGTTGGATCAGATTTCTAGATTGAAGGATATAAAGTAGAAGAAATAAGTCAAGGTAATATGATGTCAAATGAAGGAAGGGCAATTATCTCCTGTCTATTGTTGTTGCTGTTGTTGTTATGTACCATTGAGCCCTTTGTGACTCATAGTGACTCTATTTACAACAGCTCTGAATTTTGCCCTAACCTGAGCCAGTCTCACTGACTCAGACACACCTAACCCCATTTCCCTAGTTATCGTGTCAATCCAACTCATCTGAGGTCTTCCTCTGCTGCTCTGTCCCTCTACTCTTCTAAGTATGATATCCTTCTCCAAGGATTGGACCCTCCTAGCCATGTGCTCAACATATGTGAGATGAAGCTTCAAAATCCTTACCTTCAAGGAGAAACTTGTTTGCTTCTTCTGTCATCCTTAGTCATTGTTCTGCTCTCTAATGCAGAGCAGGTAATTGCGAAGACCATAGCCTAGATCGGGAACACCTTAGAATGTCTATCTGTGCTTCATTGACTATGCACAGTCTTTTAACTGTGTGGATCACAGCAAATGGTGGTTAACATTGAAAAGAGTGGGAGTCACAGAATACTTGATTGTGCTCATGTGAAACCTATATTTGAAGCAGGAGGCAGTCATCAGAACAGAGAAAGGAAACTCTGCATGGTTCAAAATCAGGAAAGAAGTGTCAGAGATGTCTTCTGTCTCCACACCTTTTCAATTTATATGTGGAACAGGTCATTCAAGAGGCTGAACTTTATAAGGAAGAATGTGACATCAGGATTGGAGGAAGACTCATCACAAACCTGCATTACACAGATGACACATCCTTGCTTGCCAAAACTGAGAAGGACCTGAAATATTTGCTGCAAAAGGTCAAGGACTATATAGTCTTCAATATGGATTGAAGCTTAATTAGCATCAATAAGACAAAGATTCTCAGCACGGGGCCAAAATAGATGGAGAAGAAACTGAGGTTGATAACAATTTTAACTTACTCAGCTCTACAATCAACACTCTTGGTTGGCACCAGCAGTCAGGAAATCAAAAGATTAAATGCTTTGGGTAAGTCTGCTGTCAGCTACATCTTCTCTCCAAAGTGCTGAGGAGCAATGGTGTCAGTCTAGAAAGTAAGGTGTGCCTGATCATGGGAAAAATAATTGAGGCAATTGGTTGTGAACAAGATACTTATTTCAATTCTTAATTCTGTGAAAAGGAACAACCAACTTTATAAATTTCTTTATTAAAATAAACCCATAATTCTAATTATATAATTCATGCTTACTGAAAAATATTTAGAAAACAAATACTAGAAAGAATTTTAAGTAGCTCTAGGGAGCTCTAGTGGCAAGAAGCTGCACTGCAATCCCAAAAGCACGCAATTCAAGGCTATCAGTTGTTCTGTGGGAGAAGGATGAGCAATCTCCTCCCACGCAATTAACTGCCTCTGTAAAAGTGCTGGAGAGTCAGCCATGGGTCGATCCCAACTCTAAGGTACAACAACAACAACGACCCATTATCAAGAGATAACAAATATTCATAATTTGATGAATGTGCTGATGATGTGTGCATGTAGACACACATAGAGTTTACTAAGGTTCCACAGGTAAATTATTTTTGCAATTGAGATAAAGTCTAATATTTTTTATTTCTGAGCATATGAAATGATCATTGTAATGTCTTACACATAGTATTGCTCGATAAATATTGAATAAAATGCTTCTGTGTGTGTGTACATATGCTTACACACATATATATGAGCTCTGGTGGCCTCACTAGTAAGGAGCCGCTCTGCTAATCCAAAGGCACACAGTTCAATCCACCACTTGCTTCTTGGTAGAAAGACAGGGAATCTACTCTCATACAATTCACTACCTTTAAAAACATACTGGAGAGTCATCTAGGGTTCTGGCTCTATCACATATAACAATAACAACAATACACACAGATACACACACACACACACACACACACACATATTCAAGTCAAAACTCAAACTCAGCTCATTGTCATCAAGTTGGATTTGACTTATAGCTGACCCACCAGTGGGTTTTTCAAGACTATATATCACACAAGAGTAGACTGCCCAACTTTCTCTCTTGGACCCACTGGTGGCAGAGAGACACTGCCTTTGAATTAGCAGCACAACTCCTAATAGTCTACATTACTAGAGCTCCCTAGTGATGTATATTTAGAAGACTTGACATTTTATATTAAACGGGGGTGGAGGGGAGACACACAGAGATGCTACAAAATTTTCCTTTACATTTTGATACTGGATGTCTATTTTAAACTTTCAAAAAGCATCTCTTGATTGTGCTCATGCAAAACCTATACTTAGACTAAGAAACAATAGTCAGAATAGGGAGAGAAAACACTGCATGGTTCAAAATCAGAAAAGAAGTGTTTCAGGGAAGAATTCTGTCTCCACATCTTTTCATATTATATGTGGAACAGATCACTTAGGAGACTGGATTCTATAAGGAAGGATGTGGCATCAAAATTGTAGGAAGACTCATTATGCAGATGACACATGCTTGTTTGCCAAACTGAGGAGGACCTGAAACACTTGTGGCTGAAGGTCAAGGACTGCAGTCTCCAATATGGATTAAAGCCCAACATCAAGAAAACAAAGATTTTCATCACTGGGCCAATTAGCAGCATCAAGATAGATGGAGAAGAGATTGAGATTGTTAACAATTTCAACTTGCTTGGTTCCACAATCTACTCTCCTGGCACTAGTAGTCAAGAAATCAAAAGATGAATTGCATTGGGAAAATCTAC